GGCTCTTCTCTAGTTGCAGAGAAACTCCAGTTGCAGTGCTCGGGCTTCTCATCGCAGTGGCCTCTCTTGCTGCAGAGCTCGGGCTCCAGGCGCGAGGGCTTCAGTGGCTGTGGCACACGGGCTTAGGTGCTCCGTGACACGTGCGATCTTCCCAGACCAGGGATCAAACCCGTGTCCCCGGCACTGGCAGGCAGACTCTTAACCACTGGACCGTCCCTTTCCCTCCAGTTTTTTAAAGAAAAGAGGGGACGATCAGGAAGCAGAGAGGGTGGCTGGAGACCCCCAGCTCCTCCTCGGGACCCTCCAGGGTCTCTCCATGTGGGAGGGCAGGGCACAGGCTCCCCCCGCTTTGAACCCACCTACCCCGGCGTCCACGGTGACTACGGGGGCCGTGAACCTGCACTGAGCCCTGGCCGCTCGCCCGGTATCCCAGGACCACCAGACTGAAGTCTGAACTCCCTCCCCTTTCTCTGCCCCGCAGCCTTGGGCAAGCCTCTCCAGGTTTCCTCATCTGTAAACTAAACTGGTTATTGAAAATATTTGCCCACCTCTGCGGGTTATCGGGAGAATCGATGGAATGTGGTAGATGACATGACAGGACTCTGTAAGCGGCCAGGGCAAATATTAGCTCTCCGGTCACGCGCTGGCCAGGCCTGGCCTGGTCACGCCAGGATGCAGGGCACAGGCCACAACGTGGGGCCACGTCTCACATTCTCAGGCCTCAGTTTCCTCACCTGTGCTATGGGAGAGTAACAGTGCCGTGCCTTCCTCACTGGACTGGTGAACAGATTGATCGCACCGATTCCCTGAAACAGCTTGCCTTGTGCACACCTCGTAGAGGGGGTGGCTATGGAGACGGGGGCCCTCCAGGAGAGTCCAGAGGTCCATGCCTTTGTGTCTGAGACAGGAAGCAGGCTTCCTTCCTTCCTCACTTCCTCCGTAGGGGGCCTTTTTCCTGCAAGCGCCCAGGTNTTTTAGTTGTTTTTTTTTTTCATTCTTACTAACAGTTTGAAATCTAGTGTATATTTTATACTTACTGGCTAGATTTTGCTAGGTGTCATACAGCCTGCCCAGGTAACTTTGAATTTTAAGCAATGGAAATAAACATTTTTAGCATAAGTATATCCCAAATACTGCATGGGACATACTCAAAGTTTATTTCTTATTTATCCAAAATTTGAAGTTACCTGGGTGCCTATGTTTTTATTTTCTGTATGTACTTTGAGCACATCAGAATGAGGAGGCTCACATTTCAGGGGCTTAATAACCACGGGAGGTCACGGCCAAGCAGGGGGCAGGGCGAGTCTAAAGGAACCGGGGCGCCCAGTGGAGTCCAAGCGAACCAGTCCCCCTCAGCCAACCTGCAAAGCCCCGCCGTGTTCTTTCTGTCTGCCTGCGGCCCCTCTAACCTTTGCCCCTTTGTCTGCCTGGGACATTATCAGTCTCAGTCTTGGTCCAGCTTTCTGGCAGCAACTCAACACATTTTATTTCTGATCATCTGCGGTCAGGTAAACAGGTGCCAGGGAAGAAAGTCCACCTCCCGCTCACAGTTCTCCCACATCAGCAAATCTTCAAATTCCGGAAAAGGGGTCAGGGCCAGCATGGGCGGTGGGGCAGCTTGGGGGGGAAGGTCCTGCCAGGCCCAGAGATGGGGGGTCCCCGGAGCCCACCTCCTTCCCAGGTACCCCTCTGGGTCGTGAGCCTCAGGGTCCTTCCTCCCCGCTTCACCAGGCGCTGGGTGGGAATCTCTGAGCCTGGAGTATCTCTGTCTGCCTCAGTTTACACACCCAAAACCATCAGGGGGTTGCAGACCAGGGCCCTGGAGTGGGAAAGTGGAGACAGCTGGGGGACGGGCCGGGGTGCAGTTTGCTGTCACGGCTCCAGTGTGTGCAAGCCCTATTAGAACCTGGGGTGTGTGGGGTGCACCTCAGGGTGTCAGGTAGTTTTGGTAACAAGGCGTCCTGGAACAGAGGCCCAGATAGGTAGGCCACGGGCCCAAGGTCACACAGCACATGTGCCGCAGAGCTAGGGGCCCTCCAGGGAGCATGGGTTCCTGCCTGCATGTTCTGTCCCGCTGTGTCACATGGCCCCACGCGTGCCTGCCGCCGCCGACCCCAGGGGAACAGACTCTGAGTGCCACTTCCCCTGGGTAAGGGGAGGCCCCAAGGGCGCCCTGCCTCCCCCAGGCTCACCCAGCCCGTAGGGCTGAGCCCGGAAACCAGCTCTCACCCGCCCCACCGCACAGAGGGTGCAGCCCTGCCTGGACAGTCACGTGGTTCGTGGGTCCCGGTGCCCCGGGGTCTCCTCACGCTACCCTCAAACCCTTGCCACTGGCTCCTCCCTGCCAGGTGCCCCCTCTGCCTCTCCCATCCCCCAGGAGCCCCGTGGTCAGCCCGGTTCCCGCCCTCCCGGTCCCCCTCTGCATATTCCATGCTGTGCTTGCCCCGGGCAGGGCCCTGGTCCTCTGCAGCCGCCAGGGCCAGGACTAGGACACAGACATCACCTCGGGCACAAGACGCAAGGGCCATCAAAGCATTCTGGCATCAAGGCACGTAGTGTGCTCATGCAATATCTTTATTTCTTTATTGTTTACATTTTGGCCACACCTTTCGGCACGTGGGATCTTTGTTCCCTGACCAGGGATCGAACCCACATCCCCTGCAGTGAAAGTGAAGTCTTAACCAGTGGACGGGCAGAGAAGTCCTCATACAATGTTTTTATTTTTTAAACATTATTGTTTCTTTGTTTGTTTTTGGCTGCGCCGGGTCTTCCTTGCTGCTTGAGGGTCTTCCTTGCTGCTTGAGGGTCTTCTCTTGTTGCCGCGAGTGGGGGCTAACTCTTCGTTGCATTGCTCAGGCTCCTCATTGCGGTGGCTTCTCTTGTTGCAGAGCACAGGCTCTAGGGCTCGCAGGCTCAGTAACTATGGGGCACGGGCTGAGTTGCAGCATGTGGGATCTCCCCAGACCAGGGATCGAACCCGTGTCCCCTGCATTGGCAGGTAGCCTCTTAACCACAGAGGTCCCACAATATTTTTAAAAATCAAGAATATCAAAAACACCAAAATCCAGGATGAACAAAATATCAGTGTTAAATAAAGACAGCATCAGCATTCTGATTTTTGCAGCAGGTTCCAGTACCGCTCAGCGTGTCGTGGTTAGAGATCCTGCCTCTGTCTGAAGTTGTAACATTTTTGTTTATCTCGGGTTTTAGACATTAATTTTTTTTAATCTTTTTTTGTTGTTGTTGCATCATGAAGCATGAGAGATCTTAATTCCCTGACCAGGATCAAACCTGTGCCCCTGCGTTGGGAGCACAGAGTCTTAACCACTGGGCCGCCAGGGGACTACCATTTGGGCATTAATTTTGATTTTTTTTTTCAATTGCGTCAAAATTCTCTTTTTCCTGATCACTGAGTGTTTGGGGCATCCCCTTAAGTTTTGTACACAAGGTGAGGGCCTCATGGCTTCACCCTGGTCCCAGCGGTAGTGGGGTGACACACACCCCGGTCCCCCTCACAGGGCAGGGCTGGCAGGAAAGTCTCCAGGTAGGAGAGGAAGATGCAGGTGACAATCCCACGAAAAATGAAACCAAAGTTAATAGGCACTGAGGCTATAGGCCAGGCACTGTCCTCACTCCCTCCCGACCTTCCTTCCTTGAGCGCCCTACTGTGTGCTGAGCACCCTCCCAGACTTCGGACAGAGCAGACTCGGAGATGCTTCCCCCCACCATACAGAACCCACATCCCGGTTTGGGGAGAGACGATAATATAATAAAATCCATAAGAATCAGCAAAACGTGAGGTGTGCAATGCTACTGGCTAAAGACGGGGGAAAAATGAAGAAAAGGAGCTATGAACCTCGTTTTAGGCACAGTCACCAAGCATGCCATCACCAAAACACCACGATCACCCAGGAAGGAGAGGTGCCCCTTGGCCCCCCTCGCAGACGGGGAAACTGAGGCAGCCTGCCCAGGAGGGGGCAGGGCGGGGCTCCCAGCCTCAGGCCGAGGCAGGAGAGGACCCAAAGCGCGGAGACCCCCAGCAGAACCGGGGCTTTCTCCACTTAAAGCGACCGCCTTGATGGTACGCTGGGCGGGGCTGTCTCCGCCTCCCTAAAAGGCGAAAGGCCAGGTTCGCTCAGCCTGGCCGGTGTCCGCCCCGCCTCCTCGCCATGGACCACCCCGGGGTGGGCCCTCTAAGGCCGTCCCCCGAGGCTGGCAACGTGACCGACCGCCCTCAAGTGTGCAAGTTCATTCATCCAGGGGCCCCTGCTGACTCACGCTTATGAAAGTGATTTTCCTGGCCCCGCCCTCCGCCCGCCTCTTCCCAGCCCCTGAAATACCCGGGCTTCCCGGCCTCTCGCACCCTCTTGGATCCCCACGGGGTAATGTGCGTCCCGCTCCCTCGGTCGGCTCCCTGACCCCCGTTTCTCCGAGAGGCCTGACCGCTCTCCCCAGTGTCCTCCACCCCGGCCAGTCAGGTGAGTGACCCGGGCGAGGCTTGGGGGAGGTGGGAGAAGGTAGCCCAACCGGGGCAGGGCCCTAGAGCCAGGCAGAGGGACCCCAGGCGGTCCTGAGGGCGGTCCACCCTGGGCTCCCCACGACCAGCATGACCCCCCGCAACCCCCGAGATCCTCCCCCACCCCTCCTGGCCATGCCCATCTCCAGGTGCCTGGCACCCTCCACCGACAGCTGCCCTGCCGGTTGGCTTGCTGGGAGTTCACCCCAGCCCACGTGATGCTACTCCAGGCAGGAAAGAGAGGTGTGGCCAGTCCAGGCCGGCTGCCCGGAGCCCCGAGGCCACTGGGTCCCGCGGGCAGCCTGGGTGCTGCCCTCTGGTCCCTGCCTCTCCTGCTCTCATGGGACCGAGCCCCCAGGGTCGAGCGGGACCTGGCTTCTCACAGGAGGGTTGGGGGTGCCGGGAATGAGGGGTGGGGTTTCAGAGGGTCTGGAGAGCTCCTGGGGCTCCAGATAGGGGAGGCTCTGGGGGCGCTGGTGTCGCGGGGTGGGCGCCGGGGCCAAGGGCTCACCCTGGTGCTTGGCAGGTGGCACTCAGGCTGACGGAGCACCTCCCCATTCTCCCCTGCCCCAGCCTCATGGCACTTTCCCAGGGGCACTGTTGTGCCGTCTTCCTCAGAGGGGACTCCGACAGGTGTCACAGGGCAGGGTCTGGGGTGTGGTCTCCAACATTCCTGGAAGAGACACCTCCCTCCTGACCCCAGTTTTTCCCTTTGGGCAATAGGGATAACAGAAAGGGGGAAAAAAAAATCCATGGAGTGGGGTAGGAGGGTTGTCATTAAAGTGAAATGAGCAAAAATACCACAGGTGCTCAGTAAATGTAGCCATACATGTGTCCTAAGCCTTAGAGCAGTTTAAGCTTCAATAACCCTACAAATTGCAATGCTCCAAACTCTATGCTCCACGCCCGGGAAAGCACGATTATTCCCATTTCTTTTGCACTTCTTTTCTCCTGTGAACTCGAAGGCCTTTTTAATGTCAACATTTGCCATCTTCAACCAGAGGGACGTTGGAAACTGACCTTCCCAGCTTCCCAAAACTAAACAGCGTGTGAGAAATAGGAAGTTACACTTTCAAATGGAAAGTTGGCAGCGTGCGTTGTTCTGAAGAGGTTTCGAGAGCTCCAAGTCTCGGGACTTGGGCCCTGTGTGTATCGCGACGCAGGAAGTAACTGCTCAGGTCAGCCTCTGGGTGGTGACCTCACGCGTGTGGCATCCAGAAGTTTCTGGCATGAGCACTGGACGTGGGGTCCAAAAGCCCTGGTGGTGAATGGGGCCTTCTTCCTCCTGGGAGCGTGAAGACGGGGCAGTCTGTTGTGGTTCCTTGTCTGTAAACGGAGGCTCCTGCAAACACCCCCCCTTACTGGTGCTGGGAGGATTCATGGGGACGGAGCAGAGAAGGACTCGGCCCGGGGTGGGCGCTCCATGGCCTCCCAGTGTGGCGGGCTGTGGGGTGTCCGGGGACCAAACTCTCAATTCATTACCCACTGGCTCTGTAACCTCGGGGGCGTGGCCTCACTGCCCTGAGCCTCAGTTCGCTCGTCTGTAAAGTGGGTTCCGTGAGGATGAAAGCCGCCCATGGGTGAGGAGCTTGTGACGGGGACGTCACCTGCGTCCTGTTGCTGGTGTTCCCGGGGTCAGTGAGGACAGTAGCCCCGGCTGTGTGAAGGGCGTGTTCTAGGAACCACAGCCCCTGCCCCAGGGCCGCTGGCAGGTCAGTGAGACGCTGTCCCCTCCCAGCTGGAGCACCGGCCCCGTGGCCCCCCTCCCCGACACCAGCACCAGGACAGAGTTGCACTCAGCCTGCAGGGGCCTCTGTCACACTCTGTCACACGCTGTCACACTGCCTCGGGGGGATGTGAGAAGGCCCTTGCACAGGGCAGCCTGGGCTCAAAACCAGTTCAGCCTGCACACCTTGTGGCAAATTCCCCACAAGCCGTCCAGGATGGTGAGACGCTTGCTTGGCCTCAGCTTTCCCATCTGTAATATGGGCGCGGTTGTGAGAGTACGTCTAACAAGCCAGTTAAATATGGGTTAAGTTGGTGAATGTGGTCAAGTGTTTAGGGCATGCTCAGCACCCGCTCACCCCACAGAAGTTCAGAAATGCTGGTCGTCCTGTGTGGCAGCGCTGTCACCCCAGGGCAGACAGCAGGGTCCCTGCAGGGAACCAGGCGTGGAGTGGGCCAAGGGGTCCCTGATGGGGGACACAGCTCACGGCCCAGGCCCCACTGAAGCGGTTCTCAGGAGACCGGAGGGCACATCCCCCTGTGAGGCCCGAGGCGCCCTGCTGCCTCCGAGCCCCCCTGTGCTCACCTGCCAGCCGGAGGTGACAGCGCCTGCCTCTCAGGATGCCTGCGGGGCCCAGATGCTGTAGCTTAGCTGCAAGCTCCTTTCCTTGCAAACTGTAAAGTGCTGCGGGCGGGCACCGTGAGAGCAACACCCAGGCCCTCCGGCCAGCCCCTCCGGCTGTCCCCCACCCCTCTGCCCGGTGGGGGACACTGGTGTTGCTGTTGCTCTTAGCACATCAGAGGTCACATGCCGGCCTCGGTCGTGCTCCCTCAGCCCCTTCAAGATCTGCAAAAAACGTGAATCAGTTGCCCACTCTCCCAAATCAGGAATTCACAGAAAAATCCAGATTTAAGCTTTTTCTTGAAAGAAGTCTGAAGGCCGGTGATGCTAGGACCCCATCCCCGGCTGCTCTTGGCTGTCTGGCCACCCTTTCACTTGCTGTGAGCCCCCAGTCTCCCTGGCGACAGGCCAAGAGGTGTGCGCGGACTGTTCAGGCAAAGCTGCGCTTGGGGGACGTAGAGAAGGCGGGTCTGGACTCACCTGGAGAGACCTGCAGCTTCAAGTTCTGGGGTTGGGTCCCTCGGAGTGATTTGGGCTAGTGGCCAGCAGAGGGCGCTGGCGCTCCAGAGACGAGCTGGTTTAAAGGCATTTCTCTCCAAATCGAGATGCTCGGGCTTCCCGCATGTCCACCTGTTCTAGCTCAGCCCCTGAGCCCTGGGCTCTTCCCCCCGTTTTCTCCAGGTCGGTACTCCATGTACAGCACCTCCCTGTGTCCCCCCACCCCCCAACAAACCTATGAGGTAGAGACTATGATCATTCCCATTACACAGATGAAGAAACCGAGACCCAGAGAGGTCCAGGAATGGGCCCATTGTCACCACTTCAGAAGCGCCTCTCCAGGCCCAGGCTCACTGAAGACCTGAGGGCTGGCTTGTGAGGTGGGGGTGTGGCGGTCACAGACGTGCTGGGCAGGGCTTGCTTCAAGAAAGAGCCAACTCATTGGAAAAGACCCTGATGCTGGGAAAGATTGAGGGCAGGAGGAGAAGGGGATGACAGAGGATGAGATGGTTGGATGGCATCACCCACTCAACGGACATGAGTTTGAGTAAACTCCAGGAGATGGTGAAGGACAGGGAAGCCTGGCGTGCTGCAGTCCATGGGGTCACAAAAGTCAGATACAACTTGGCGATGAAACAACAACCGTTACCATCCGTGATGAGATGGGAGTGTGGAGTGAGGCTCAGAGAGCAGGAGACGACCAGGCTGGAGGAGGGAGCCCTGCATTATTGGGCCTGTTTAGGAGGTAGTAGGTGTGAGAGGGGAGCATCATCCTAAGACTCAGGGAGGATCCTGGACTTGACCCTGAGGCCAGCGGGAGGTCACCCTGCAGCTGGGAAATTGACTGCCTGACCCCCAGGCTCAGCAAGCACCCCTCTGCCCCTGTGCCCCCAGGTCGGCTGCCAGCCCCACGTCCCCCGCCAGCCACAGCCATGAGCAACCGGAGGAAGGACCACCTTGGTGCCAGCAGCTCAGAGCCCCTCCCGGTTATCATCATTGGTGAGTGCTGTTCAAGGCAGGGGGGTTGGGGGGTCAGAGGTCAGGAGCATCCACTCAGCGCTCTGCTCAGCAGTTTCTAAAACATCACTCCAAACAGTCCTTCCAGGAACCCACAAGGCTGGAGCAGAATGACCTAGAGAGGTTGCCCGGCGGGGTGGGGGCAGGGTTGGGGGGTGTGCCACTGGTGATAAGTGGGCAACTGGCCTGTGTTTCCCCTGCGCTGGGTGCCTGAGTGAGGGGACACAGCAGCTGCATGTGTCCTGCTCTCAGGTCTGCAGAAAGGGGGGATAGAGGCCCCCGCCCTCCAGGCCAGCATCAGGTTGAACCACGTGAAATGGCCATTTTTGTAAGTTCAGGACAGTTGAGCATCAGCGATTTCACATGGTTCATCCTAACCGTTGTCTCCATAAGTAGGACTCAGGACAGCACAAGATAAGAGAAGGACAAATAAGAAGTGATGTCACGAGGTTAATTGCCCACGAAGGGCCACTGGTGAGTCCTGGGGTTCATCAGGACCTGCGGGCAGGCGGCCCCACCACGGGTGGCTTTAGTGCCCGTCTGGAGCACCCCTGCCCCCGAGCTTTCCCAGTCAGCACATCGTCTTACATGCTGCAATGTTCTCCACATCCCTCGAACCCACCACACAGTCGGTCCTGGAGGACTGGGCTCATTCTTGGTAGTCTCAGGGTCTTGGTCTTGCCGCTCTGTGACCACAGGCAAGTTACTCAGCCTCTCTTTGCTCCAGCATCCTCACGCAGCAAAGGAGGAAAAGTAGCGTGCACCTGGCTCAGTGGGATAATGCATGGGCTTCCAGGCTACAGAGAGGCTTGTTACAGCAGCAGTAGCCTTATTATTTTGTTGTTAAAATCAGTGGGGACTTCCCTGGAGGTCCAGTGGTTCAGACTTTGCCTTCCAATGCAGGGAGAGCAGGTTTGATCCCCGGTCTGGGAGCTAAGATCCCATATGCCTTGAGGCCAAAACACCAAAACATCAAACAGAATATTATTTTTAAAAATTCAATAAAGACTTTAAAAATGGTCCACATCAAAAAAAAAAATTTTTTTAAATCACTTAACACAAAGCTTGACACATAGTAAGCACTCAGTAAACATCAGTGGTTATTTCCACAGCTTTCTTGTTAAAGTGGTGCAGCGCTAATAGATGCTTTGTTTTTGTTTATGAGTGAAGAGCAAATCAGGGAACGAGACAGATCAGAAGCGGAGCTCTTGGTGGTGGTGGTGGTCTCGAGGCTCCAACGCTCTGCCCTATGACTGTGCCCTCTCTCCCCAGGCAATGGTCCCTCGGGCATCTGCCTGTCCTACCTGCTCTCAGGCTACACCCCCTACGTGAGGCCGGATGCCATCCACCCGCACCCCCTGCTGCAAAGGAAGCTCTCAGAGGCGCCAGGGGTCTCCATCATGGACCAGGTGGGCTTGAGCTCTGGGACAGGGGTGGACACCCCCACTGCTGGGAAACTCTCCCAGGCAAAAATAAAAAAGCTACATTTGTGGGAATTCCCCGCTAGTCCACTGGTTAGGACTCAGTGCTTTCACTGTCGGGCTCAGAGTTTGATCCCTGGACAGAGATCTAGGATCCCACAAGCCACGTGGCACAGCCAAGAAACAAAAGGATGCGTGTGTGAGACATGGGAGGCCACAGAAACAGGGAAAGAGGGGTGGCAGCTAAGACGTCAGCTTGCCTCGCCTCCCCTCGTCCAGCGATTCTAAACCCAGGATGGTTTTGCTCTCCTGAGGACGCTTGGCCAGCTAGAGACAGTTTCAGTTGTCACGCCCAGAGTGGTGACACCACTGGCTTAGAGGGTTGAGGCCAGGGATGCCGGGACATCCCACCACACACAGGACGAGCCCCCCAGCCCTGGAGCCACGAGTGCCAAAGCTGAGGACTCCAGTCCTGGATACTGCAGACCTACTAGCCCCTGCTCGGGAGGGCCGACCAGTCCCCCCTCCACACCCCTCGCCTCCCAGGAGGTCACTCTGTCTGCAGCCCCTTCAGGCAGCATCCACCAAGCTGGGCCCCTCCACCCCGGAGCTGGAGGATGAGGAAGNGCCCGCAAGCCCCTCTGCATTCGGCTTCCAGGAAACCAGATGACAGTTAGGTCTCCATCTGGGGCTCTCTTGGCATGCCTCAGGCAATCCTGGGGGCTGCCCCACCCCCAGCCCCAGCTGAGGCCTCCCCTGCTGTCCAGCCCTGGGGCAGCTGGGGGCCAGCAGAGACTGGACTTTGCTCTCCTTCACTCCTAGTCCATTGAAGGCTCCATGGTGACCCTGAGCCAAGGCGAGTGGATGGGGCTCCCCGACCTGCAGGTCAAGGACTGGATGTGCAAGAAGCGCAGGTGAGGGTTCCCTGGAAAGCCACGGTGAGCAGGGAAGACCCAAGCCCGCCCCCGACACTGAACCGGGAGCCAGAGGTCAAGGGACTTCAGGCGGGGGGGGGGGGCCGCTCATCAAGCCTGCCTTGAGGGGGACGCTGCGGCCGGGCTGGGGAAAGGACTTGCCCAGGGCCGCACAGGCGGTAAGCAGCAGAGCTGGGCTCCCCGGGACTCCCCGTCCAGTGCTCCTGCCTCTCACTCTCGACTGGGCCTCCCTGTAGCATCCCAGACTCTAAGGAGAGCTGACCACTGGCCCCTGCCCCCCACATCCTGCCTTGGAGCCTCTGGCCCAGGCTCCCCGGTCCTCTGGCCTCCCGCAGCTCCTCCCGATATTCTGAGCTTGGCCTGCAACCGTCTCTTTTTCTCAGTCAGCTAATCAATCGGATGCACTTTTTTAAATTGATTTTGCATTAGAAACATAACTACAGTACAGGAAATTGAAAACTGAGAAAAGAACGACAGTTGACTCCCAACCCCGCACTCCTCCCCGGCACTGCCGCACCTCGGAGGGTTCTCTTCCCCCCACTTCCTGCTCCGTAATGACCACACTGCACACTTCTCACCACCCCAGAGAGACAGCCGAGTCACAACAGATGCCAGCCCCTGCTCATCCCGGGGCACAGGGCGTAAAGTCGCCCAGTGCTCAGGGTGGCATCTGCCCTTGAATGTTTTCTCCTCCCTCCAGGTTCTGACAGGGGGCCTGCTGTTCAATCTCTCAGTCTGTCCGACTCTTTGCGACCCCATGGACTGCAGCACATCAAGCTCTTCTGTCCTCTACTATCTCCCGGAGCTTGCTCAAACTCATGTCCATCGAGTCAGTGATGCCATCCAACCATCTCATCCTCTATCATTCCCTTCTCCTCCTGCCTTCGATCTTTCCCAGCATCAGGGTCTTTTCCAATGAGTCAGGTCTTCGCCATCAGGTGGCCAAAGTATTGGAGCTTCAGCTTCAGTCCTTTTAATGAATACTCAGGACTGATTTCCTTTAGGATTGACTGGTTTGATCTCCTTGCAGTCCAAGGGACTCCCTAGAATCTTCTCCAGCACCACAGTTCAAAGGCATCAATTCTTCAGTGCTCAGCCACCCAGTAGGCAGTTGACCTACTGGAAACCTCACTTGACCTCTCTGGAAACTCTGTTCCATCCCTCCAGAGTTCATGGTCTGTCCTTTTGACACAAAAATTTTTTGCCCCAGCAAATGTGGTAGAAAGACATCCAGGCTGGCGTAGTGAGGTGTTAACAGACAGACAGGAATGTAAATTTCAGTAGACACACCCTTTTCTGTCCTACTCTTAAAATGTAACGTTATGTCACAAGGATCTCACATGGTGATTACACAGTGACTGCAGCCATGCTGTTACAAGGCCATGTAACATTCCTGAGAGGGGCGGGCAGCTCCACTCATTCCTACACACCGGCCCTTGTACTTAGATGTCAGAGCCAAAAGCCACAACAGACGCACCCCCTGTCCTCATGGTGCTGCTGCGGTTCCTAAACCACTCCCCAGTCACAGAGCTTCCATTCTTTCCAATGTGCATTATTATAAGGAACCCTGGGTGCAACATTGTCTTAGGACAGCCCTTTAAAACACTTTCTACTAAAACAGAAGAGCAGAAATGACCAGCCCACAGCCGTGAATTCCAGAGTTCCAGTTTCAGGAGCAGCCTAATGGGTTGGGTTGGCTGCAGTGGACTTAAGGGATATCTGAGCTCACCTACAATCTTGTCCTTACTGACAGGTTGTATTGACAATGTGTCACAAAAGATTCCCTTTGAGTTAATCCATAACAACATGTCCACAAGTCAGCGAAGGGAACTCACTGAAGGTCACCCGGGAAGCTACAAGGAGGAGCTGAGATAGCATCCTCTATGCCTCACCCCCTGGCAACAGCCCTGGAAAAGGTGGTAATAATAGCAAGAGTGATAATAACAACAAAAATAACAGTAACATAGTAACAGTAATAACAGCCACGGCTGCTACTGTGTGTTGAGGACTGTGTTAAGTGCTCTATGTGGGTTATTATTTAACCTAGTTCTTTACTGAAATATAAGCACATATAGAAAGTACACAATTAGAAAGCACACAATTCACATGCCTACAGGTGGATGTAATTTCTCAAAGTGGATACACATACGTTTCAGTCACCCAGACTCAAAAAGCAGACCCCTTCACCCCAGAAGCCCCCCTCGGGCCCCTCCCAATCACCCCCTTCCTAAGAGGCCACCCCTCTCTGAATGTCTAACTCCATAGATGAGCTTTATCTGTATGAACTTTATAAAAACAGAAGCCTACCCCAAAGCACATAGAATACTGGTCAGTATTGGAGGAAAGTGTCATGGTCAACCCTGCGTCACTCACAGCCTGTCAGGTTCTAGTCTAAACCCTTCACTCCTGTCATCTGAGCCTCTCAACGATGGCAGGGGACAAGTGCTGTCACCACGGTCATTTTGCAAATGAGGGACTGAGGCAGGGGGTTCCCACAGGACCCAGGCCCTCTGGCACCAGAGGCCACACTCCCAACCCCACCCTCATCAGCTCCATTGAACAGAAAAGAGATTTTTACAGCTCAGAGGGGGTGAACCCCTTGAGCAAGTCCTACGCCCAGGGGTGGTGCAGCCACCCTCCAGGGCCTGACTCCAGCCTGTCCACCCGATGACCGCCCCAGCCCCGCCCCAATCCACTGATACTCACGCCCCCTCGTCCTCCCCTCCCCCAGAGGTCTTCGCAACAGCCGGGCCACGGCCGGCGACATCGCCCACTATTACAGCGACTACGTGATCAAGAAGGACCTGAGCCACAACTTCGTGTCCAATGCCGTGGTCACAGCCGTGGAGTGGGGGACGCCCGAGCCCAGCAGCCCTGGGGCCCGGGACCCCAGCCCGCTCTTCCAGGTGAGCGGCTTCGTGACCGCCGAGGACCAGAGCCAGCAGTCCTTCTCCCTGAGTGCCCGCAGCGTGGTCCTGGCCACAGGGACGTCCGACAGCCCGGCCCGCCTGGGCATCCCCGGGGAGGCCCTGCCCTTCGTCCACCACGACCTGTCAGCCCTGGAGGCAGCCACGCGGGCAGGCACAGTGTCCCCGTCCTCGGACCCCGTCCTCATCATTGGGGCAGGGCTGTCGGCCGCAGACGCGGTCCTCTACGCCCACCACTACAACGTCCCTGTGATCCATGCCTTCCGCCGGCCCGTGGACGACCCTGGCCTGGTGTTCAACCAGCTGCCCAAGATGCTGTACCCCGAGTACCACAAGGTTCACCAGATGATGCGCGAGCAGTCCATCCTGTCGCCCAGCCCCTACGAGGGCTACCGCAGCCTCCCGGAGCACCAGCTGCTACTCCTCAAGGAGGACCGCCAGGCCGTGTTCCGCGACCCCCAGGGCCTCCAGAAGGTCTTCGGCGTGGCCCTGGTGCTGGTGCTCATCGGCTCCCACCCCGATCTGTCCTTCCTCCCGGGGGCGGGCGCCGACCTCACTGTGGACCCCGACCAGCCCCTGAGCGCCAAGAGGAACCCCATTGAGGTGGACCCCTTCACCTACCAGAGCATCCACCAGGAGGGCCTGTACGCCGTGGGGCCACTGGCCGGGGACAACTTTGTGCGCTTCGTGCAGGGCGGGGCCCTGGCCGTGGCCAGCTCCCTGCTGCGGAAGGAGGCCAGGAAGCCACCCTAGCGCCTGGCCCGGCAGCCTTACACCCAGGCCCTAAGAGGAGGGAGATCACCACAGCCCTGCCGGATGCACAGTGCGTCCCAAGATGCCCCAGTGATGGAAGGGGGCCTCTCCTGCAGGAGACAGGAGCAGCCATGAGCCCACACCACAGGCCTCTCAGATGAAGAGTGGGAAACCCAGACTGCCCGGACTCAGACCAGGGTGGAAACAGTGGCCACAGGACACGGTAGGCCCAGAGCTGTAATTGGGGGTGAAGTGGCCCATGTGAGCTGGGATCACCAGGGCCCACGGAGCACCGAGCCAGGAGGACTTCCAGGCCCTGCTCTTTGCAGAATCAGGTCCCAAATAAAACCAGCGCCTGCCTCCACTCCTGTGTCTGAGGACTCTCTGCTTGGGGAGGGGGCCAGGTGCCCAGGACCCTGCCCCCGGGAGCTGGGGAGTCAGGGCAGGGGCAGAAGCACAGGGTCGTGTGGGAGAGGGTCCCGGGGCTGGGGGACACTGGGCGGTGCCCCAAGGGGAAGGGCAGATGTGACTGAGGAGTGGGTGCTGGGGAGGCTTTCCCAGCCCCGCCCGCCCCTCAGGTCTAGTCCCACTCACTCCCTCTCCCTTCAATGGATCCTCTGTGTTCTCCACACTTGCACCTGCCACAGGGCCTTTGCACAGGCTAAGCTCTAGCCCAGGGAACTTCCCCATCCTCTCTTTAACTCCTCCTCCTCTTACAGTCTCTGAGCATAAGGACCATTTCCTCTAGGAAGCCTCTTCTGACATATGCCCCTCCGTAGCCTTAAGGTAGAGCCTACTCTGGTGGGTCAGGGTGCCACCCCTTCATTGAAGTTCAGTTCTCACTCTTCATTATTTGTGGGATCATTCCAGTATCTGGCTCCGCCCACTTGGCTGTAAGCTCCAGGAGGCCAAGGCAAGCCCTCGTCTGTTTTTCCGCTGTTCTTGGAACCCAGTGCGGCCACCAGGCCTAGCACCCAGCAGGGGCGCCTTTAATTCTCTGGTTCTGTGGGTGGGGTCTGGAAGGATGGACGTGGGGAGTATGAGGGGAAGAGGGTGTTCCAGGCGTAGAGAAGACTAGTTCTGGGCGTTAACGCGCGGGGGAGGTCTGAGGGGCGTGCACCCTGTGGAAGTGGGTACTTGCGGAGTGGAGAAAGTGGCCCCGCTGTGTGGGCGCGCGTTCCCTGGGCTGCAACCGGCAGAGGGCGCTCCGGGTTCGCCGGACACCGCTCTCCGGCCCCAGCGGCGGCGGCGCCACGGCGCGGGGGAGGGGGGGATTCTTCCGGAGGGCGGGCAGGGGGAGACTTTCGGAATGGGGGCAGCCCCCAGGAATGCACCCCCGAAGCCATACCCGCCACCACCCTGCGCCTGCCAGGCAGCCCCCTCCGCGGCCGGGCCGGGGTCTAGCTCCCAAGCTCTGCGCCCCTGCCGGCAGCCCCCTGCTGCCGCGCCCGGCCGCCGGGGGCGGGGGCGGTGGCCCACGGGGCACGTGGCTCCGGGTCCGGGCGGAGCGGCGCCCCCCCCTCCNCCCCAGCTGCTCTGCCCCCCGGGCCGGTCTCCGTGCGGGTCCTGACTCGTCCTCGGACTGGAACGACCCCTTTGCCTCCCTCCTCCTCTCGGGATCTCCACGTTCTCGGAGCCGGGACCCTGGGGCCCCTCGACCCGGCCACCGCCCCCTACTTCTGTCCTGGCCAAACCCTCATCTTTCTCCAGCCCGCACTTCATCCTTCACCCCGCTCCTTCCCGGGACGCGAGTCCCGGACCAGCGTCGGTCCCTCCTCCTGCCCCCCGTCCTTATTTTTCTAAGACTCTTCCCCCCAACCCACCCCATCACACACACAATTCCTGGGTCCGGGGCCATTTTTCTTGTCCGAGCTCTGGACCCTAAGCCCTTGTATCCTCAACCCTTTTGCCTCAAGCACCACCTTTTTAAAAGCAAAGCCCCTCCCCACCTGTCTTCCCCTCTCCTTTCAGCAGGACTGGAGCCATCCCCCATCCTCTCTGAGGACCACCACTCCATTCTGAGCCGTCTGTCCTTGATCCCCTTCCACCCCATCCCTCCCCTTCCTCTCTCTCCTCCTCCCCCACGCCCTCTGGGGCCCAAACCGCCCCAGCTCACCCTCCCACCCACTCCCCTCCGTAGGAGGGAGCTTCTACAGGGTGGGCGGCTGCCAGGGTGGGGGGGCATCCCCCGTGGAGTGCTGGGAGGGGTGGAGGGAGCTTTGCCCACCCCAAGGGAAGCGCGGCAGTAGGGTGTGCCTGTCCTAATGAGGGTCCTCCGTGGTGGGTGACACGGGGGTGGGGGTGCCATGTTTGTGTAAGGTGGGTGGGTTTCTGGGAGAGGTGTGTGTATCACATCCTGCTGAGTGAGGGACAGTGTGGGTTTCCTCTCGCCCCCGCCCCCCTCCCCCACGTTCCTGTTGGAGCCCCCAAGGCTGGCTCTGACTGAGAGGGCAGGGGGGGTCTGCGGCAAGTGGCCGTGGCTCCCGGGCTTCTCAGAACACGCTCACACACAGCCCACACACTCCTGCACAGGTGAACCCTCTCAAAGCCCCGGTGGAGTTTACAGCTGAAAGTCCTTGCAGCGGAGAGCTCTGTCCAGGGCCCCCGCCCCTTCACACAGGACAGACGTGGGCTCTGGAGTCCTCACGCCACGCTGGCCTTGAGCCAGCTCTGAGCCTTAGTCTTCCCATCTGTGAAATGGGGGTGATGAGCGAGTGCCAGGGCCACATCTCCTGTCGGATCAGTCACTTGTTTAACGCTCACGCCCAGCCCCGAGCGTTTAAAGGTGGGACTCCAGCCTCCTCAGGAACCTTGCAGTCAGGAGCAGGCGTGTGGGGTGCACAGGCTGGGGTGCTGGCAACTGCCCCCTTTTCTGCCTCAGCCACAGTGGCTTCAGACCCGTGTCCCTTGCCCCGACTTGGGGTTCAGCTCAAGGAAGGGGGAATTTTTTGAGAATATCCTTCCTGAGCTGCTGCTTCAGTTTGTCACAGCCCCAGGTGCCCGACAATGGATGCCCCGCTATGGCTTGGAGGCAGGAGATCGGCTCCCTCCCGCTTTCCAAGGTGTGAGGGGGCAGCATCTCCCCCTCTTCCTGCCCTCAGTAAGGCTTGCGTGCATGCATGCTAAGTCGCTCAGAAGGGCCTGACTCTTTGCGACCCCATGGAGCCTGGCAGGCTCCTCTGTCCATGGGATTCTCCAGGCAAGAACACTGGAGTGGCTAGCCTTTCCTTTCTGCAGGGGAATCTTTCTGACCCAGGGATTGAACCCAGGTCTCCCCTTAGCATCTGAGCCACGGGGAAGCCCCCAGCAAGGCTTACTAGGTCCTAAAAACCCCAGGCGGAGGAGCTATCTGGTTTCACCTGTGGCTGAAGGGGACCGGGCTGCCCCTCCCCTCACCTCCCCCGCCCCTCCTGAGCTCCCCAGCGGGCTGCTCTGTCCCACTGACCCCCACACCCCTGCCGTTCCCTGGCGCATGGTCCCGTCGCCAGGCCTCGAGGTTCCCTTGGCAGCCACCTCTGTTCAGATTTAACCCACCCTCCCTGGAGAACACCAGGCCCTCGAGGGGTCCTGGTGGGGGTGTAAGGTGAGTGGCTGCCTCCCAGGAACAGGAGTGGGAGCGTGCGGCCGCCTGCAGGTGCGACACGTGGGCCGAGGGTTCTGGACCTACACCCAGGCGCACGGGATGGTGTGCGCGTTTGTCCACGCATGCGCTCGACTACATGGCCAGTGGCACCCGAGGAAGAGGGGCCGCTGCCTGAAATGCCCTCCCACCCCAGGGTCTCCTTCCTCTGGAGGGTGAAGGGGCCCGGCTTCCCAGGACCACTGGGCTGGGGGTGTTGGAAGCCTGCTCCTCCAGGCCGATGCTGACTCGACCTCTCTTCTCTACAGATTTTCCGCCGTGCGGACAAAAATGGTGAGTCCCCACACCCCACCCCACCCCCCGCTGTCCCCGAGTGAGGACCTAGATCTTTCTAGTTGGTGGGGGTGGGGTGCAGGACGCTGCCCTGCGCCTCAGTTTCCCCATGCTACGACGGGACCCCCCATGGTTCCTACTGAGCAGGGGAGCCCTGCGGCTTCAGGGGGCAGGTGTGGGCAATGCGCTGAGGTCAGCGCTTGATGCGCTTCAACTTCCTGCAGCTGGGCCGGGCCAGGGGCGCCCAGGAAGCCCCCAGCCTCACCCCAGGCCCCGGCACACTTCCTCCTCAGACGTCCATGCAGCCGCCCCTGTTCTGTCAACTCCGTGGTGGCCCAGAGAAGTTCTGTCTTGCCCGGGGTCACCCAGCTGTAGGAAGGCTGTCCAGGCTCTGCTGCGGACCCCTGGCGTTTCCTCCACCCCCAGCCCCCCAGCGAGACTTCCCGCATAAAATGAGCACGGTGTCGTGGCCCCGTGAATTCAGGACGCCCACTGGGATTGCCCCACCCCGGCCTTTCTGGAAGTCAGGGGCCCCGTGAGCCTCACAGTGGCCGCCGAGAGCGTTTGTCTACACACTGTAGTCGTCGTTCTTGGGTCGAAGTGGCTTCTGTGGTCTTGAACCAGGACACAGTCCTGCTTTAGGCCTCAGTTTTGCCATGTCTAGATTGGAGTGATAATACTTAACTTGTCTACGTCCCAGGGCTGTTGGGAAAATGAAGGGAGGAGACATGGCTGGTGAGCTTTGTGGGAGAGAAGCAGGCAGTGCTTAATGTAAATCCCTTGAGAAAATACTGATTGAGTATCCAGGCCCCTGCCGAGGGAGGAGTGGGCACAGCTGACCCGGCACCTGCCCCCAGCCCCCCTCCCTGCTGACCCCGGGAGTCACTGTCTTGCTGTCCCTGCCTGGTACTGAGGCGAGACCATGAGACTTGGGCTGGCCACCAGTGCCCAGGGGGTTCTCCATCTCTCGCCCCCCCCATTCCCAGGTGTGATGGGGGCCCCTCCCAGGCCTCTGGGAGGCAGCAGCAGCCTCAGGAGCAGTTCCGTAGGGAGCATGGAGGAAGCGGAGGGACACGGTGGGGGGACTTCAGCAGCAACCGAGAAGTCATCGTGACTTCGCAGCCTGAGCGGTGTTAGAGACTAGAGGAGAAGGTCCGGGGGTTTGATCCCCTTGCAGGCCTCTCGGAACCTTCTAGTGCATGGCCGGCCAGGGGCCACGTGGTCATTGCCGTGTGTGCTGGCCACGCCCCTCAGCGGATGGCGAGGTATCACGCTGAGGGATTTGGGCTTGTCCCTGTCATGGGCCCAGCACACAGGTGGTCCTCGGTGCCTGGCTGCTGCCCCAAAGGTGGTGACCGGGTGTGACTCCTGGCAGTGTGGTGTGTGCGTGCCCGGGGGCAGCCGTCTGGGTGTGGCTGCAGGTCTGTCTCTGTCCGTGCTTCGGAACCTGTGTGTGCGGATCTCTGTGACCACTGCTGCACACGCCGGATGTGTGTGGAGTTGTGTGTGTGTGTCCTTCTGGATGCTCAGCTCCGCAGGAACCTTTGCAGTGTGTGGGTGGCAGGCGCCCTGGTCTCCCTTCAGGCAAGATTGCTCGCCTCGTCCTCATTGCTCAGCCCCCCCACCCCCCTCCCTGCTGCCATCAGAGACTGTGTTTCCACCCCCCAAGCACAGCTTCGGGGACCCTCGACTTTGCTTCTGTGGCCCCTACAGCGGCCCCAAGCCCCCTTCTCTCCCTGGGACTTTCGTCTTCCTGGCCGCCGCCAGTGGCCGTTAGGGGGGTTCACGTGGGATGTGCTGGTCCCCGGGGAGCACCCCCCTTTTGCTGCAGGGACTGCCTGGGCTCAGCTCCCTCCCAGCTCTGACCTCAGGCCAGTCCCCAGACTCTCAGGGCCTCAGCGTCCCCATCCGTGGGTGGGGATGGTCATGCTGGTACCCATCTTGGGGTGGGGCTGTCGGGGATGGAGTGGGGCTCGGGTCCTGGCATGCTGTAAGGGATCTGTGAGCCCTCATGCCAGCTGATGAGCATTGAGCCTTGGAACATGGGCGGTGATTTGTCAACAAGTGTTGGGTTCCCACCCTGGACTTCACGGGGCATCACCATCTGGTGGAGACTGCTGGTGGCTGAGGAGCATCCATTACACACCAGACTTCCTCATTGGACATTCCCTTGGGTCCTAGTGGCAGAGGAACATAGGGGGCAGCCGTCTGGGTGTGGCTGCAGGTCTGTCTCTGTCCGTGCTTCGGAACCTGTGTGTGCGGATCTCTGTGACCACTGCTGCACACGCCGGATGTGTGTGGAGTTGTGTGTGTGTGTCCTTCTGGATGCTCAGCTCCGCAGGAACCTTTGCAGTGTGTGGGTGGCAGGCGCCCTAGTCTCCCTTCAGGCAAGATTGCTCGCCTCGTCCTCATTGCTCAGCCCCCCCACCCCCCTCCCTGCTGCCATCAGAGACTGTGTTTCCACCCCCCAAGCACAGCTTCGGGGACCCTCGACTTTGCTTCTGTGGCCCCTACAGCGGCCCCAAGCCCCCTTCTCTCCCTGGGACTTTCGTCTTCCTGGCCGCCGCCAGTGGCCGTTAGGGGGGTTCACGTGGGATGTGCTGGTCCCCGGGGAGCACCCCCCTTTTGCTGCAGGGACTGCCTGGGCTCAGCTCCCTCCCAGCTCTGACCTCAGGCCAGTCCCCAGACTCTCAGGGCCTCAGCGTCCCCATCCGTGGGTGGGGATGGTCATGCTGGTACCCATCTTGGGGTGGGGCTGTCGGGGATGGAGTGGGGCTCGGGTCCTGGCATGCTGTAAGGGATCTGTGAGCCCTCATGCCAGCTGATGAGCATTGAGCCTTGGAACATGGGCGGTGATTTGTCAACAAGTGTTGGGTTCCCACCCTGGACTTCACGGGGCATCACCATCTGGTGGAGACTGCTGGTGGCTGAGGAGCATCCATTACACACCAGACTTCCTCATTGGACATTCCCTTGGGTCCTAGTGGCAGAGGAACATTACCCCCCTTTTTTTTACCTGTGACGGAATCAAGGCTGGGGAGGACATGCGAAAGATCACAGAGCCTGGGCTGGGGGGCCAGGCAGGAAGTTCTGACTGGATCCAGCCCAGCTTGCAGACATCGTGTGGGCAGGGGAATGGGAGAGGGGGTGAGTGTGGGTGTAAACAGGCACACACCACAGGTGCACACACACACACGTAGCACAGGTAGATGCCAGCTCTGCCCCCAGCGTCCACAGCAGCAAGATGCCTGCAGGGATGGCAGGATGGTCCCAAACGAGGCCCCGGACCCCAGCTTGCAGTGGAATCAGCCTCTGGGATTACAGGAGCAAGGGCTCAGCTCAGGCTGGCCTGTCCTGGCAGCTCCCAGGTCAGAGGCGTCTTCGTGGGGGTGAGGGCGGAGACCGGCTGTGGCCCCCGAGGGGAGGCAGAGAGTAGGGGGCCTGCCTGGCCGCTGGGAGTCTGGGGCCCAGAGGGGTGGTGTGGCGGCCGGCAGAGGAGTGAGTGCCAGTGCGTCTCCCTCCAGGGGCCGGGGCGCCAGCAGACTCCTGGCGTTTCAAAGGTCACTGGGACGGAGGCTGAGCTCCTGCTCATTAGTGTGGACACCTTCAGACGGCCCACTCGGGGGTCCTGGAGGTGCAGGCCCGCTGGCTTCTCTAATTGCAGAGGCCCCGGGCAGATGCCGCCTCCCTCGTTAGCTGATCTGGGTTCATTAGTGCTGTGCTGGGACGTTCACGGTAAATGTCAGCCCAGAAGGCTCTGGGCCCGGGAGGCCGGCGGGCCCCGCTCTGCCTGTTCTGAGTGCAGGCTGGTTGGAGGTGCTGGCGGTGCCCTGCCCATGGCAGACACGAGGAGTCATTCACAGCACACTTCCCCTGAGCGCAGGCCTGGCCGCAGCTTCTCCGTGTGGCCTGTGGTTGCGGATCCCGACAGAAGGCCCTGCCCCAGGTCGGGTTGAGAGCATGGACTCAGGAGCCGGCGGCCTGGGTTTGAGCTCCCACTGAGGGACCTGGGCAAGTCCCATAACTGGTTTGGCCTGTCTGCTCTGAGAACTGGGGGGAGGGGGTGGTCTGCCAGGCGGTGTGTGAGGACCAGATGTGTGAATACACACAGCCCGTGTGTCTGCCCTGGTTCTGCCCCTGGCTGCTGGATCATCATCAGTCTTGCTAAAGGAAATTTGGAAAACGTCCTCTTTCACAGGAGACAGAGCCATAGCTTAGCGTTTATGTATTTCACAGCTGTTACCCTGCACTTTTTATGGTTGGTTTTTGGGTCTTCATGTGTGATTGGGGAGGGGAGGGCGTGTTTGTTTTGTCTTCAGGGGGACTCTGGATTTTGAGAGTTAGAAATTCACCCTCCCATTCGTGACATTAAAACCCGAGCCGGGATGTTGGAGGCACACGGCATGTTGCCCCAGCCCCCTCATATGCAAGCCTGCGCCTACTCTCTCATATCCCCCCTCTCAGCATGGGCGGAGGGGAGCCACTGGAAGATGTGAGGAGCTCACTGTCTCCCGTTGCCCTACTTTGAGCCCCTGCAGAGCTGCTGGCAGCAGAGTAGAAGCTCCAGAGCCTTTAAAATGTACCGTGGGGACTTCCTTGGTGGCCCAGTGGTTAAGATTCACTGCTCCCACTGCAGGGGGCACAGGTTTGATCCTTGGTCAGGGAACTAAGACATTGCATGCTGCTTGGCACAGCCAAAAATAATAAACTAAAATGAAGATAAAACACAGAGGTAAAATGCCTTTGAAAAAAAAAAGAAACATATGAGTGACTTCCACCCTGGACCTAAGTAGGTCTGCCATGTCTGGTTGGGCATGTTGTGCACTGTGCAAGGGCACCTACTTGAGAGAATTGAGGACCTCAGATCCAGCCTGCATGCCCCTCCCCTCAGGAGCTCTAATGCTGGGCTGCATCTCCACCACCCTGCCCACCAGGAAGGGCATTTCTTTCTAATCCACACAAAGCACCATGTGGGCTCTCAAGGGCTTTGAGTGAAGACTGGCTGGAAGTAATGAAGGGAGTCTATGGAGAGGGGCTGGAGCCAGAAGGGTCTTGGGCTCTGCCTTCTCCCTGACTTCAGTGCCTCCCACAGACGTGCCTTTGGGGGGAGGAGCAGGACCAATCTAAGGTCGTTGAGGAGGGGGTCGTGGCTTCAGGGGTGGGATTGGGAGATGAGTGTGCTGAGCTGGAGACAGGTGGGAGGAGCTGGAGTTCTGCTTGGAGCCCCTCTCTCAGGGGCCCAGCTGCCCCCGATCCATGAGAGCTTCCCCAGCAGATGCTACTACCCAGGGCGACAGCGGTGGAGGCTGAAGATGTGAGGTGGGGAGGGACGCATTGGGATAGGTGTGTGCGCTGTGGGGGCCCCTCGTCCAGAGCCCCGCCCCGGGCCTGCCGCCACCTCCCCTTGGGCTCTGGCATCCTCAGGGCTGCATCCACGGTCCGGCGAGGAGTCTGTGCCACTGCTGGCAGTGGGTCACGTCACACCCTGCAAAGGCAGAGAGGAGAGAGGTCATTGCCTCCCCAGGCAGGACCTGGGTGCTGGGGTAGAGATGATTTAAGTGTGCAGAGGTTCTCTGGGCTTTTGGAAGCAAGTGAGAGTGGTCCTCAGACTGCCCAGGTTTAAACCTGCCTCTTACGGGGATGGGATCCCTAACCTCTGGGATCTAACGCCTGATGATCTGAGGTTTGATAAAATGATAGAACTAAAGTGCACAGAGTGCTTGAACTGTCCTGAAACCACCCCCTCCCCCTGGTCTGCGGAAAAGTTGTCTTCCATGGAACCAATCCCTGTTGCTCAAAAGGCTGGGAACCGCTGGAGGTAACAGATGTGGGATTACCTACCTCCAGCTGGGCAGGTGACTCGGAGAGATGGCTGCCTGACAAGTGTTCTCTCTGCCTGTTGCCTGTGGGGCTTGAGGAGCCCCAGTATTTGCTGGTGAGGCGAGTCCCGGTACATGGGTGTTGCTCTGTTGGGTAGGGAGTTAGCTGAGTGGGCGGCTGGTCTCTGTGAAATGGTGGCTGCTGTGGGTTCATGCCGCGGGCAGGGGTGACCCGTGTGGGAGTGTGGCTGCTGGTTGGGGGGTTGGCAGGGGCAGGCGGGGATTGCCTGGCTGTGGCTCCTCTGTTGATTTGGGGATGTCCCGTCGCTTCGACACCAGCTGCCCTCCCTTCCCCTCCCTCACAGATGACGGGAAGTTGTCCTTGGAGGAGTTCCAGCTCTTCTTTGCAGATGGCGTCCTCAATGAGAGAGAACTGGAGGATCTCTTCCACACCATCGACTCCGACAACACCAAGTGAGCTCAGTCGCGGCTGCTGGAACTGGGAGGTGGCATCGCCCAGTCTCCAGTGCCCACTCCCCTGGACCTCTAATCCAGAGTCCCATCTCTTTGGCCCCCACTGGCCAGGGTGGTCTGGGGAGTGGACAGATTGAGATTGTGTTGGCAAGTGTTTGTCTTTTCTGAGCGCAATGTGGCGAAGCAGGCAGAGAGCCTAGGTTTGCAGAATATATGTGCGTGCGTGCTGAGTCGCTTCAGTTGTGCGACCCCATGGACTGCAGCCCACCAGCCCCCTCTGTCCATAGAATTCTCCAGGCAAGAATACTGGAGTGGGTTGCCATGCCCTTCTGCAGGGGATCTTCCTGACCCAGGGATCAAACTCACGTCTTACATCTCCTCTACTGGCCGGCAGGTTCTTTACCACTGTCCCATCTGGAAAGCAGAATATACACGGGATGACAAAGGGGTAATCAGCCAGCTCAGCTCAGATCCCAGCACGAGCTTTGAGATCCTCTTCCTCACTGGGGCCAACCTTAGACCAGACTGGTCCTCACTCAGACCTTAACCTTCCTTCTCGCTCTCTACGTTTTCTCCAACCCAGCCAGAACCCTAACCTGCAGCTCAATCAACCCCGAACTCCTCCAGCCCCAGCCAGTCCCTAAATCCAACACAAAATGCGCACTCTACTCACGGACCAGACTGACCCTTCCCACCCTGAACTTCAGCCCTGCCCTTTCCGAGTGGTGGCCAGGCAGGGGGAGGCCCTGGCCGCTTCTCCACCCCACTCAGGTGATGAGGACCCAAGTTCCTGGGGCTGCTGGGGGGCAGGTTTGATAGGCTGGGGTCCCCTATGCCAGGCTAGAGGTGGTCTGGAGGAGGAGCTGTCCCCAGGCCCGTTGGCAGGGGGCCCAGGTTGGAGGTGGCCTGGGGCCAGGGTGGGGCAGGTGGCCGGGAAAGGCCACTTGAAAGGGACTGCTTCCTGCCGCAGACCCCAGGGGAGGGCTTTGTGTCTGGAGCCAGATGGAGGTTCTGAGTGGGTCCTGCAGCTCCCCTGGGAGCTTGAAAGGGCTTTGCAGGTGCTCACAGATTATTCAGCCTCATTCGGGCAGCTGGAGCAGGGCGGCAGAGGCACTGATATGAGTGCGGGCGGGGTGGACTTCCCATCAGCAAAAAGTCAGAGCTCTAAAGACCTTTGGGTGTTTTGTCTCCAACACTCCCTAGAGTGTGAGCTGTAAGCATTCCCTCCTGGGGATGCTAGACAGGTTTGCTACCCCAGACCGTCCGCACGCGGCTCTGGAAGGTTGGTGCGATGCTACTTTGAGCACCATGAAGCAGGCTTCCTCTCGCAGGACCTATGAGAACATGTCCCTCATGGTGCGTTTTGGGGGGAGCCTCCACAACAGAGTGTGCAGAGCCTCTGATCTGAGAACCTTTCCCCTGAGCCATCTCGATGAGGCTGGCTTGCTTTTGAAGCCAGCCGCTCCTCTCCTGGTGAGGGAGCCGGCCTCGGAAGATGCACCGAGCTGGGTCCCCAGGCGCCCGCCCCCAGCTCCTGCTCACAGCGTCTGGGTTCTGAGGCTGCTGCCTGCACCTGCCCGGCGTGGGTGGCCTGTGCTCGGCCTCTGAGGAAAGACCCAGAGCCTTATGGCTGTAGGAACAGGAACACGGGACCCCAGGGCTCGAGTGAGAACAAGGGGGGCACACCCTCCGACAGGGCAGGGCCTGGGGCTGAGGTCGCCAGACAGCTCCGGTGACAGCTGTCACAGTCCCTGGTTTAGCCCCCTCTGCTCCAGATGCGCTGGACAGACTCGGGGAGAGGAACGGGGTGGGTGGTGTGGTGACAAGGTCAGACAGACGCACAGACGCAGATCCTCTGGACGGGGTGGCCGCCTTCACCGGCTGCTCCCTCATCTGTGAAGTGGGGGCCACCTAGGCTGCAAGGGTGGGGGTGTTGACCCAGCGCTGGGGGCTGTGCTCACCCCAGAGGGAGAAGGGTGGGGGCCGGGGGGACAGGCCTGCCTCTGAGCCCCCCTCTCTCTCTGCATGCAGCCATGTGGACACCAAGGAGCTGTGTGGTAGGTGCCGCTGTGGGGGGACCCAGACTTGGGTGCACGGTGATTCTGTGGGGGGAGGGGCGCAGGCGGCTTGGAGGGAGGACCTGGGGGAGGGGCGCCATGCTCCTGCGACCTTTGACTTCTGCTTTCCCTCCTCCCCCACAGACTACTTTGTGGACCACATGGGGGACTACGAGGACGTCCTAGCTTCCCTGGAGACCTTGAACCACTCCGTGCTGAAGGCCATGGGCTACACCAAGAAGGTCAGCGGGTGTGGGCAGCCCTGGGGGTCGAGGGCCTGAGCACTGGTTTGGGTCTGAGAGCATCCTGGCCCAGGGGTGCCTGGGTCTGTGATGACAGGTGTTGGGTGAAGCCAGCTCCGAAGCCGGCATTGCTTGGGTGTCTCAAGGTCACGTGGCGAACTGGAACGAGGGGAGGGGCTTGGGGATGGGTCTGTCCAGGAGTGTCCAGTTTGGAACATGAGGCTATTTCCTGGAATCAGGCTCAGTCCTGGGCCACAGTCCTAGAGAGGGAGTGGACTCCAGCCCCAAGAACAGGTGTCAGCCATGCTGGTCTCACGGCCTTTGCAGCCGGATTACAGAGGAAGAAGGAAGAGGGTGGACGCGAGCCCCTGACCTTGACCAGGAGCCCCATTGTGTCTGGGGCAAGCATACCATGTCCAGGTCGGGAGACGGGAGCTGGGCGGAGGAAGCATCAGGAGTGTTGGCTGAGTTCAGGACTCCCTGCGTGTCCTGGAGAGAGAGCCCCAGCATGGCTTCAGGCATAGGCCGGTCACTTTGTTGGCATCCATGCCCTGGAGGAGGGCACAAGGTGGGAGATGGGGCAGGTCGTGGGCCGGGCGGTGGCGTGGCTCAGCTGGCCACAGGCAGCCCACCTCCTGGCGCCACATCCCAGCTGAGAGTCTGCACCCGCGCTCACTGGTGCTTCTGGAGGTGGGGGCGCAGGCAGGGTGTGTTCCTTCTCTCCGTCCACACACGAGAGGCACGTCAGTTTCCTGAGGATCTACGACAGCAGGCTTTAGCGCTCACTGTAATCCCCCCAGCGACCCTGTGGGCTGTGACTGTCGCCGCCACCAGCCTCCTTTGCTGTTTGTGTTTTGACTGCACCGGGCCCTCGTTGCCGCGCACAGGCTTTCTGGACTGTGCCGAGAGCGAGTTACTCTTCGCTGCGGTGCTCAGACTTCTTTGCTCCAGGGCACAGGCTCTAACGGCTCACGAGCACAGTTGTGGTGGCGCACGGGCTGAGTTGCTCTGCGGCATGTGGGGTCTTAGTTCCTGGACCAGGGATTGAACCCGGGTCCCCTGCATTGGCAGGCAGACTCTCAGCCGCTGGACCACCAGGAAAGTCCACTCCCCTCCCTTTCACAGCTATGGAAATAGAGGGCTCAGGAAGGTGAACCTGGCAGAGTGGTGGCCAGACTGCCAGAGCTTCCTGCCAAAGTGGGAGGGGAAACTGAGTCAGGGACCCAGACCGAGGTATGGAGCACAGCCTGGGGTCGAGCTGTCCAAGGCATAGAGGGGCCACGCTGTGCTGGACCAGTGTCACACCGGAGGGCGTGCAGCCTCTCTGAGCAGTGGGAACTCGGGAAGGAGCAGCCCCACCTGCTGGTTGAGGCCAGGGGGCTTAGCTGGTAAAGTCCGCCAGACCAGGCCAAGGACCCCGGCCAGTCACTTCTCTTTCTGAACCTCAGTTTCTCCAGCCGTGAAATGGGAGCATTCACCTTCAAGAGTCCTCGCAAGGCCTGAATAAAGTGAAAGGTCTCTAAGCTGCTGAGAGTAGGTCCCGCACGTAGCAGACGTGACTAACAGTGTCATCAGGCCCCTGTTGTGTGCCCAGTCCCAGGAAGGATCAGTGCCGTGTGCTTTTTCCACAAGCTACCCGGCTCCCGCCCTACCCCGTGTCAGGGAATCTGCCCCCCACCATATATCCACCAACAGCTGGGCCTGATCCCAAACTGCCACAGCCCCACACTTCCGTTTCTGTCCTCCTGTCATGCTGTTTTGAGTCTTGGTGTGTTAAAGTATTTTTTAACATTGCGTGAGACCACTTCCCTTTCATTGCTCACCCTGTTGATAGTCTGAAAATACCAAGACAGACAGTGGCTTGAGCAGGCCACAAGGAAAGCCCCCACCCCCGGAACTCTTGCACAGACAATGTGTCAGCCCCAGCTCTGTTCCTCACGGGCTGTGTGAGGTGTGCCAGCTGCCTGTGCGGGACTCCTCGCAATTGAAGTCGCCACCTTGAGCCTCAGTTTTCAAATCTGTGAATGGGGCCACTGCCCAGCAGCGCTTCTTGGCATTGTTAACATGTACTTGTCTCTTGGACTTTGGGCTCAACAGTTCAGAGAGGTGACACAATTCTCCGTCAGGGAGAGGATTTTAATGCCTACCAGTACAACGTAGAGCAGTTTGGGGGATTTTTGCTCTTGGAAATCTTGCAGCTTTTGGTGTGTTCCTAGTGGTGGTGGTGATGGAAGATTGTCCCAATGGTAACTGGCATTTCTTTGTTTTTTAATTGAAATATACGTGATTTACAATGTTGTGTTAATTCCTGCTGTATAGCAAAGTGATTCAGTTATACATATATACATGTTCTTTTTTAAAACAGTCTTTTCTGGTTTGTCATAGGATGTTGGATATAGTTCTGTGTGCTCTATAGCCAGACTTGTTGTTTATCCATTTTATGTATAAAAGCTTATATCTGCTAACCCCAACCTCCCACTCCATCCCTCCACAACCTTCTCCCCTTGACAACCACCCGTCTGTTCTCTGTGTTTGTAATTTTGTTCATTTCATAGATGAATGCATTTGTGTCGTGTTTTAGATTCCGCATATAAATGATGTCATACGGTATTTGTCTTTCTCTGTCTGGCTTACTTCACTTAGTATGATAATCTCTAGTTGCATCCATGTTGCTGCAAATGGCCTTATTTCATTCCTTGTTTTATGGCTGAGCCATCTTCCCTTGTATGTATTTTTTAAGCTTTATTTTTTATTTATGGCGGCACTGGGTCTTTGTTGCTGTGCGGGCTTTCTCTCGTTGCCGTGAGCGGGGCTACTCTCGTTGCAGTGCCCAGGCTTCTCCTTGCCGTGGCTTTTCTTGTTGCAGAGCATAGGCTCCAGGGCACGTGGGCTCAGTAGCTGCGGCCCAATAGTTGTGGCTCACAGACACATGAGCATGTGGCATGTAGCATGTGGCATCTTCCCAGACCGGGGATCAAACCCGCATCTCCTGCATTGGCAGGTGGATTCTTTACTGCTGAGCCCCCAGGGAAGCCCTCCGTTGTATATTATCTTTGGTTTAAGGGTGTATCACACTGATTTGTGCATTGTTGAACCCTCCTTGTAAACTTGGGATGAATCCCACTTGGTCATGGGACTTTTTTATGTCATGGTCATGATCTTTTTTATGTGTTATTGGGTTTGATTTGCTAATATTTTATTGAGAATAGCATTTCTTTTTCTTATGTTTTCTCATCAGTTTTTGTCTGGAGAAATGAAGCTCAGTGATTATTTAAAATACTTCTCTTGTGTCCATTGGCTTTAGTTGACTTGTCTGCTTTTGCAGATATGCGATCCTAGCAGCACTGTTAGCTAGTATAGTTATCTTCATTTCTGGTTTGTGCTCCTACTCTTTCTCTGTTGTGTTCTGTTGCATTTTCCCCAAATTCTCAGACACTGTAATATATTACGTTGAGCATCCTTGTTTCACTTCTGAGGTTCAAATGCATCTCTCTAGTAGTTCTTCACTAATTATAACATTAATACCAGGTCTTATTTTTAGAATCCTCTTCAGCCTGTAAAAAAATATTTTTGTATTCCTTTTATTAAATTTTGCCTTCGGGGGTGGTAGTGAATTCTTTCAAATACCATTTTGGTTTTTTTTCTTTTTCAGGGATCATATGATTTTTCTTGAACTATTGATGAGGTTGATTCTATTATTAGATTCTCTCCTGTTGAACAGTCCTGAGCCTCCTGTGATAAACCCTAATTGGCCCATTTTTCTTTTACCATAGTGCTGAATACTTGTCACTAGCTGAGCGTTTTATCTCTGTCTATATCAGAAATTGAGATTGGATGATAGTTTGGGACTGAACTGTAGGTGGTTTTGCATATCTTTCTGTGTGTGAATCAGCTTGTCTAACTCAGAGTCATTTTTCTGTTCAAAAATAGAATTAATGCATAGGCTTGGGTTGAGGTACTTAAACAGGAGGAGAGGATTATTTTAATAGTGATCTTAAAGTCAGTCTTATTTTTAGTTAAATTTTTGGTGTTCATTTTATTATATTTTTAAACAGAACTGCCGTGGACATGTTCAGTTTTATGATCAATCATGCTTAGCATGTTCTTATGCTTTTTTAAAATTCTTAACCACTCTCTGAAACAAGACAGACACATAATTCAGATTACAGTCAACAAAACACCTGCCGATAGAGCTCAGGCCTTGATTTAATTTTTTTCCTATTTTGCTGCATTTAGACTTCTGTTTGACAGTTTTGCCTGTTTTAATTAGCTGTTTCTAGAAATGAGCCCCTGACACGTTTATTTAGCTTTCATATTATAGTATATTTTCTTGTTGTTCAGCCCCTCAGTCGTGTCTGACTCTGCGACCCCATGGACTGTGGCACACCAGGTTCCCCTGTCCTTCGCTGTCTCCTGGAGTTTACGCAAACTCGTGTCCACTGAGTCAGTGATGCCATCCAACCATCTCATCTTCTGTCATCCCCTTCTCCTCATGCCCTCAGTCTTTCTCGGCATCAGGGTCTTTTTCAGTGAGTTGACTCTTCTCATCAGGTAGCCAAAGTATTGGAGGTTCAGCTTCAGCATCGGCCCTTCCAATCAATATTCAGGGTTGATTTCCTTTAGGATTGACTGGCTTGATCTCCTTGCTGTCCAAGGAACTCTCAAGGGTCTTCTCCAACACCACAGTTCAGAAGCATCAGTTCTTGGGCATTTAGCCTTCTTTGTGAAGTCCAATTCTCAAATCTGCATGTGACTGCTGGAAAAACCATAGCTTTGACTCTATGGACCTTTGTTGGCAAAGTGATGTCTCTGCTTTTTAATATGCTGTCTAGGTTGGTCATGGCTTTTCTTCAAAGGAGCAAATGTCTTTTAATTTCATGGTTGCAGTCACCGTCTACAATGATATGGAGCCCAAGAAAATAAAATCTGTCACTGTTTCCATTTTTTCCCCATTTATTTGCCATGAATTGATGGGACTGGATGCCATGATCTTAGTTTTT